AGGTCCCTTCCGACCCTAGAAACTATGAAACTATATTACGTACCTAGTATATGATTAAAGTTTGGATTCTGGAGAGACAACTGAACCTCATAGGGCATGTGGATGAACACTATATAAGGCTCTCTCTTGGATATTCCCTCGAAAAGACAATAAATCTCTGAATGAAGCACAGTGTGTACTATAGCTAAATTAACAACTTCTTGGTGGCCTATCCACTTTTATTAAATCTCAGGGGCTACAAGGAAGCATGTCACCAGACCTCCTTCTCAGTTCTTTCAAGTTGCTGATTCAATTAAGGCAGCCTCTAAATTAAAATTATTACAAAGATGTGTTTTATATCATTGTGACAAGAAACCTAATGCAAGCCATTTGCATCTGACTGTAACAGAAGTGATGCCTTTATTCATTTGCTCATCCCACAGGTCATCATTGCTTGAGTTCTTCCAGGAGCAAGATGATTTGATTTTGCAAAAAATCAAAATGCAAAAAGGTCCCTTGCACAGAAGCATCCTTGCAGTTCCCTGTTCTGATATTCAGCGTTTGCCATAATCATACAGGTGCTCTGATCTCTCCCTGTCTTTTTATGCCTTACATTTCAGCCATGTCCTTATAGTTCCTTAGATTTTGTAGGTTTTTCTCTTGCCTGTATCCTATAAAGATCTCTCTCTCCCTCATTCAGATATAGCCTGCTCCAAATAAACTTTGAATTACGCTAATACATACCAAGGAGTACAGTACTTAATAGCTTCAGAATGGCAAAACAAAGCATGCAGTCAAAATGGTATCTTTTAATTCTTCCCTAGTGAGAACACAAGAACAGGTCATTCAAGGGAAACAGCAAGCCACCAAATACTCATTTACAAAGCTCCCAGAAGGAAATGTCCATTCTTTACTGGCTATTCTGTAATTAATCAAGCAGTTTACTCCCCCAGAGGAAAGCAGCTGGAAAAGGGGGCCTCTTTTGTTCTGATTCAAGTGACTGGTTCCAACATATATGAAGGTTTGTCAACCCCAAGTGCGCCAAATGATCTGCCAGGCCCCCTGATTGAAATCATGTTTGTTTATTTCGTTTTTTAAAAAAATAATTCATTTAGCTTTCTTTTTATTTACTTTGTGATATTGGAGCCTTCAGGGCTTGAGTTTTTCTTTGTTACTACAAGGTTCAGACACCTATTTATTTTTAAGTAAAGATTCTTATGCACCCATCTGACTCAAGGCATTGCAGCTTTAAAAAAAATGACAACAAATATTGTGAGACTTGTGATAAAGTCAGAAGAGCCAGCAATGCTGCATGTTGTGCTGCCCCCAAAATGCAACTGGGTATTTCCTTTGGCTACAGGCAAGAGCTCTGTAGGAGCTTCATCCTGCAAAGTAC